TATAAACTCAACATGGACTTTAATATTTAATACTAACATGTTTTGTATTTGTTATCTTATTCACTTTTAATACTTTGCTTGTTAAATGGTTAGTCTAGATTTATGTTGTATCACACTTGATACAACAAATATTTGGCACTTTTATAGCTCAATCGTATGGTATAACTTATACTTGTGCTACCAAAGGAACTTGATTTGTTGTTAATATAAGTTATAATCATGAATACATGACAACATTTACTAGTATTACTATTATTCGAATAAAATAACTAATTTAATCATGTTAACCATTTATAATCCAATTGGAACCTCTTTTGTGTGTGGTTTCTAGTTGAGTAATAAAAAGAGTTTATACTATACTTATTTGAAATACCATTAGTGAATCCTCTAACCTTGACATTGGTTTTTATCATTGTTTAACCCTCACATTAATCTTACATCTCAAAGTCCTTTTTAATTTCTTATTATTATTGTTGTTGTTGTTATTCTTTATAATTTATATAGTTAACCTCCTCGTGGTTCAACCCCAATCTTGCCAAGTTATTTATTACTTCAACACTCCTACACTTAGGAAAAGACATCAATTTTTTGATCGTGTTATGAGCCAACCAAAGTGAGCATATCAAATATAAAAGTAAGGTAATGGGACCTAGATAAGCTAACAAAATGATAACAAAACCTAAAGTCCAACTCCAAAAAAATTCCAACGTAAAGAATGGGATAACAAAAGGTCAAATTAAAAAAAAAATTCAGCCAACAAACTTAGTAAGCTAATAAAACCATATGACCCGAATCATGTGATAAGACAACTCAATAGAAGAAAAATATGGCACTTAAAACATATGACCCGAATCATATGATAAGACAACTCAATAGAAGAAAAATAAATAAAATAAAGATTATGAAGCTTAATTCTAAAACAATCTAAGTTAACCTGTCAAACTTACAATCTAAGTGATGGGATCAATATAAATGAATAGAAAAAAGTCAAAAAAAATCACGAAGCCCGATATTGAAAAACTCTAACCTTAAAGGATTGAATTGAAATAGAAAACTAATTACTAACCAATCTAATATTGGAGGATACAATTAAATATTATTTTAAAAATTTGCTAAAGTAAATTCAACAAAGAAGGACAAATAAAAGGAACCCGAATAACAAAGATCATTTTCAAAACTAGTGAAAAAATTTATAGAACAAAAATAAATAAAAATAATAAAGCCTAACTCTAATTGAATAAATGTTGAAATATTGAAATATAAAACTAAAGAAAAATAAGCTTAAAATAAGAGAAAAACAAAACAAGTAAACTTGGACAAACCTTCTAAAGCTAAGTTGTTCTCAAAATCTTGCAACCTATGAAATCTTAGATTTGGGCTTAATTAATAAGCTCAATTCTCTATCAATTTAATTTTAAAGGATAAAATAGAAAAAAAATAATTTAAAATTTTTTTCAAATTAAAAAAAAAGTAATCAAAAGAATGAATATCAAATTTAATATGAAAAAAAGAAGTTAAAAGAGGATCAAATTATAACCTATTTTTTCAAATTAAAAAAATAATAATCAAAAGAATGAATATCAAATTTGATATGAAAAAAAAAAGTTAAAAGAGGATCAAATTATAACCTAGAAAATCCTAGATTTAGGTACAATCAAGAAGCTCAATTTCTAACCAATTTAATATATAAGGATGAAATAAAAAATACAAATTAAAAAAAAGTTGTCAAAATATAAAAAATATAATAATAAAAAAATAAGGATCAAATCTATAAAAAACAATTGAATGAGAATGAAATTGTAAAAAAATAATTTTAAAACCATCCTAAATAAAACAAATTTGGCCTAAGATAACAACAAATAAATTAAACAAAACAACCTTAGCCTAAGTCAACTTTAGTCAAACCACGAAACCTGAAACACGACATATAATATTAAGATAATCTCATAGAAAAATAAAATAAAAAAAATTCATTGTAAAAATGAACTTAAAAAACCTATGTCAACTTGGACTAACTTTTCAAATCCATGACCTGGGTTCTAAGACTAGATTTATCGTATAAAAAGCAAACCTGAAAAAATCATGAAGATAAATTCTTAATTAACAAAATCTCAATCAACAAAATATCAAGGTATGAAATCAAAAAAGAAAGTTTCAATAAAAAAAGATTCAAAATAAAATAAATAGTAATTTAAAAAATAAAAACTAAATCTAAAAATAAAATAAAATATTTAAGGAAGCAATTGAAACCAAGTTCAATTAAGAAAATAATAAGAAGAATAGCAATTAAAAGAACGAGAACAAGACGTGAAAGATACAAAAAATTAAAAAAAAATTAATTTCATAAATTATTTAAAATAAAACAAATAATAAAAAAAATTATAAGCCAAATATAAAAAAAAAATTAAAAAACTAATTTGAGACTTTACATGCTAAACACAAAAATATAGTTGCTTGATTTAGTTGCTTAATGATGTTGCATGTGCTGTTAAAAAATAAAAAAATAATGTTTTTTAGTTTTTTATTTTAAAAATATTAAAATTATAATGTTTAAGAATCGTTTAAAATTATAATAAAAGTTACTTTTAAAATATAAAATAATATATTTTTTACTTTTTAAAATTTATTTTTAGTATCCTGTATCTAAAAAATATCTAAATAAAAAAATACCTATATCTAAAAAATATCTAAATAAAAAAATAAAAATTAAGAAAAACTTTTTTAAAAATTCAAAAATGCGGTTTTATCACGCTTACCTGATAACTTTGCTTCCAGCCACGATCTTACAGCCATAAGAGAACGTCTTTCAGCTGCGGCGGCGGCGGGGTTGTTTTTCAATTCCCATCGTTGCCCTTTCATGAAATCCAAATCCATCTTCTCTCCACAAAACCCTTGTCTTAAATCTATCTTTTCAACACCGCTAGAGTCTCTTATGGCCACTTCTCTAGACCTAAACGACGACTCTCTCTGCTCCAATCCCCAGCAACAACAAACAGAAACCCATGAAAATTCATCAGAAACGGCATTGCTTGGTGAGCCGAGGGGGTACCTAAGCGGAGAGGCTCGTGTGGAGCGTGCATGGGGTCATTGGAGTAAACTGGGTCGGCCCAAGTTGATAGTGGCTCCTATGGTGGATAATTCGGAGCTGCCGTTTAGAATGCTCTGTAGGAAGTATGGAGCTGAGGCTGCTTATACTCCTATGTTGCATTCCAGGATTTTTAGTGAGAATGAAAAGTATAGAAGAGAGGAATTCACCACTTGTAAGGTAAACTAACTTTTTAACACTTGTTAATTTTGGAGCAACTGTGTCAATTTCTTGCTTGACCCTAATTCTGAGATGCTATTGTTTGTGTCCATGGGAGGGAATAAATCAAACTAAAATTTTGATTTAATCACTGCAACTTTGGAGCTTGGAGGATGCAGCTGGGGATTTCTTGCTTAATATTTTATTTGATTATTTGTCTGACTTTGAGAACAATTGCAGGAAGATCGCCCCCTATTCGTCCAATTTTGCGCCAATGATCCTGATATTTTATTGGAAGCAGCGCGGAGGGTGGAACCTTATTGTGATTATGTGGATATCAATCTAGGGTAAAATTTTTGAGCAATCATCTACTTTTTAGCATCTTTACTTGGTATTTGTTGTACTGAAATATGTGCATTTCTCTTTCTTTCTTTTTATTTTTTTTTTTAAAATGATTGATCTAAGTATCCGTTTACAAACATCTCTACAAACTCTTACTAGCAGATCATGCTTCTCTTTCCATATTTCAAATCAAGTTTTAGGTTAAGTTCCAATGTCTCTGTTTCGTATGAAAGTGTTTTGTTAGATTAAAGATATTTCTGGCAGAACTTTGAAGTGAAATAAAGTGTTGGTTTTGTTTAGTTAGCATACTATTATTGTTGTTGCCTGGCTCTCAAGATCCATCCTTTCCGTCAATGTTGTTGTGATAAAAAGAATATGCTTGAGCTCCAACTGAGAATATGTTAAAATAAAATCATCACCATAGAATTGAGACATAGCCTTTTGTTGAAATATTATGTAATATAAAATTGAAATATTATGTAATATAAAATGATGAAGCTTTTTCCATGTCATGAATTGGCTTAAAAGACTTTAAATGCTGCAGTGATTAAATGGTCAAGTGCAGTGAATATTGGAATACTAAATCAAACACTTTCGAAGCAGTTCAAAAGTACTTAGAGAAGCCATGTATTTCTATACGTAAGAGTGGTTGATATACTGTTTTTTCTCGAAACAATAGCGGCATTAAAGAAATTAAACTTTCCTTTCAGTTCTTACACTCAAGCCCATGAAGTTACTTATGACTGGATGAAAGTTGAACAAGACATTGGGATAAAATCTATGAGACGTGTTCTTGACTATGTTTTGGACAAGACATTGGGATAAAATCTATGAGACTTGTTCCTGAATATGTTTTGGCTTTACAGCCTGTATGGGAGCTTCTTCCAGCCCAGATGCTTTATCAGATGCTTCCCTTGCCACCGATATTTAGAACTATCTTAGTCACATCGCCAGAATCTTGTTTTGAGTCTTCTAATAACAAAACTAGTTTAATCACTCTTGACTTCATGATAATTCTGGTGATGGGATTTGTGCAGATGTCCTCAGCGGATTGCCAGGCGAGGTTACTACGGAGCTTTCCTGATGGATAATCTTCTACTTGTGAAATCTTTAGTTGAAAAATTAGCTATCAATCTCAGTGTCCCTGTGTCATGCAAAATCCGGGTCTTCCCCAAATTGGAAGACACAATTAATTATGCTAGAATGCTAGAGGAAGCTGGCTGCTCACTTTTAGCTGTCCATGGTAGAACAAGAGATGAGAAAGATGGAAAGAAATTTCGGGCTGACTGGAAGGCCATCAAGGCTGTAAAAAGTGCTCTGAGAATTCCAGTTCTTGCCAATGGGAACATACGGCACATGGATGATGTTAGGACCTGTTTGGAAGAGACTGGTGCTGATGGTGTGCTTTCAGCTGAGACCCTTCTTGAGAATCCAGCTCTCTTTGCTGGATTTCGGACTGCAGAATGGGTAGATGATGGTGAAGAAGGCAACAAAGATGGATTGCTGGACCAGGCAGATTTGTTAGTGGAGTATTTGAAACTTTGTGAAAGGCACCCTGTGCCATGGAGGATGATCCGTTCTCATGTGCACAAGATGCTAGGAGAGTGGTTCAGAATTCAACCTCAAGTAAGAGAGGATCTGAATGCACAATCCAGATTGACCTTTGAATTTCTATATGATATGGTGAATCGACTTAGAGAGCTGGGTGTGAGGATTCCACTTTATTTGAAGGAAAAGGATAGTCATGTACAAGGAGTTCCTGAAGATGGTTTGGCCAATTGAAGCATTATCATACAAGTTAATCGGGTTGCAGGTGCTTATTATCCATGCTTGTAGCACACTGAGAATCAACAAACAGATTATCATTAACTTATACAGATTGTTTTGTCGTTAGATCTGTGCTAAATTTCTAGATGCCCAATTAAGCTAATCCATTCGTCTAGGAGTCAGGGGTGTAGAGGGCATTTTAGCAGTCAAAAAGCGGCACCTCAGATTTACACTGGATTCTTTAGGTTCCACAGTAAATTCTTGGCAAGTGTCTTAGTTCTCCCTTTTGTTTTGAGTTTCGATTTTTTTTAAAGCATAGTTTTGAATACCAGGGAGATGTAACAGTATTTTTTAGGTTTTTATTTATCAGATGGGAAAGACACTGTCTTGTTTCCTGTCTCTCCTTGATAATAGACTGAATCAATGTCTTGTTTCTTGTTTCTTGTCTCTCCTTGATAATAGACTGAATCAAGTGTCTTCCGTGATCGCCAATGGAAAATTAAACCTCTGGCATGTCTCATTTAAGTAAGCTGTGTCTCGTCCAGTGTACTCGATTTTTTCCAGGTCCTCTCTTCTTTTTATCTGTATTCTTGCGAATCAAATTTATGCCCATGTGTTAGTGCTACAGAGCGTGAAAAGACTTGCTTAATTTTATAATTAATGGCGATGGTGATGTAAAATGAAAGCTTGCGCAAGCATGTGAATCACGAAGTTCCCCATAACTGGAGGTTTGAACATGAGACACACCTTTCTCGGATAAATATGTAGTTTTTGTTTGGAATTAAAAGGGTGATTGTTTGTTTAAAATGTATTTTTATTTAAAAATGTATTAAACTAATATTTCTTATATATATTTTAAAATGTATTTTTTTATATTATTACATCAAAATAATTGGAAAACACAAAAATAATTTGAAGAAAAAAATAAAACCAATTCAAATTTTTTTATAAATAATTTGAAACGTAAAAACAAGGATAATTTGATATAAGTAGTTAAATTTTAATTTAAAAAGAGAATCCAAATATAACAAAAAATTAGAAAATCATAGAATTATGATTTATTATACTTTTCAAATAATATAATTATGACTGATAAGAAATTAAGATAACACACTTAAAACATCTTGGTTTTTAAATAAATTTTTTTAAAAAAAAAAATGAGAAATCAAGATAACACACTTAAAACATCTGGGTTTTCAAATAAAAAAGTTTTTTTTAAAAAAAATAGAATTTTAAAAATTCTATGAATCATATTTTTAAATTTTCATCTAGGTTTACAGCTTAGATCTGGTTTTTATAGGGTTGTAGTACAGCTTGGTGATATGTTTAGGGGATAAAAATGAATCTAAAGCTATGGAATGCATGCATAAATTCTACCGTTATTGCATTCACAAGGGGATAAAAATGAAGAAAACCTATCTTTTATGCATATACTAGATGTAAGTCCAAGAATATAATCTACAGGGATTTTAAAATTCTGTTTTTATGGGTAAATATAATTTTTGAAACTAGGATTTTTTTACATGGGTGACCTTAATTTCTTACTAGAATATGATATATATTCCATGATTTTCTTTATATTTTCCTCCTTTGATAATTTAGATCCTCTTCTAAATTAAAGTTTTGGCTTCCCATAATAATAATAATAATAATAATCATCTAGTTTCTCCAATTTTATCAATCTCAAAGTTTAAAAATATAAAATATAAATCTTCTATTTTTTGCCTTATACTGTACATCATTTGAATTTTAAAATATAAATAAGAAAATTAATAAAATATATGCCAAAATACAAGTAGATTCAAAGACAATATAAATTAATTTAAAAAGTAGTAAAATCTAAATTAGTATTTATAAAAGAACACTAGACTGCTATTTCTATTAAAAAAATAGCATATTCTATTTATGGAACTCATTAACTAATATGAGCTTACTCAATGATTTTTGTTATAATCCCTTAAATTGGTCGGGCAAACTCTACAACACGTCCTCAATATTAAAATTAATTGGTTTTGTGAAATATTTTGTTGGTTGATGATTATTATAATAATATAAAACAAAACTTATTAAGCTCAGGCAAATATAAAAGTGAGTCTTAAGTGTTGTCAAACTTATCATTTTTAGATTAAATCAAATATTAAAATTATTTTTAATATTAAAATTAATAAGTTTTATCAAATATTTTGTTTATCCATGATTATACCATTGTAATAGAACAAAATTTCTAATTCTCAAATTATTTTATATCTTTTTTCTTTGTCTTCAAAGTAAATTAGAATGAAAAAAGAAATGATAATTTTTTTAATCTTACAATTTAAGTATAAATGAAGTATGCGATATCATTTATACATTTTAATTAAAAGCAAGAGCTTTGATCCCATCAAATTACTTGAAGTGCGGTTCTATTTGATTAAATTTTAAGAGTTCAAGGATTGAAAAAGATTTGTCGGTGTGGGTAATTTTTCTTGACAAAAAGGAAAAATTAATTCAAAGAAGAAATTGATAAAGAATAATATATTAGGGAAGTGAAGTGCCTCAGTAGGAAAGAAGGTCAAACAATAATTTTCAAGTGCCTAAACAGGCAACAAACTCGTATAATACGATCTCATAACTTATCAGTTACGATTTTATCCCATTGGATAATCTTATCGGTTTAGTGATAATGGCATAATCTTATCGGTTCTCTCCGTGAGCATAATCTTATTGGTTCTCTCCGTGACATTTAATGCAATATTCAATCTCTATAAATACCAGGGCCCTGGCTATGTACAAAGCATCGAATCAATTGTTAGAGATAAAGTTGTGGTAGTATTTTTGTTGCTTGTTTGAAGGATGGCGATTGATCTATCACCGAAGGTGGCAAAGAGAGTATACGGAGGAGATGGCGGGTCTTACTGTGCCTGGTGCCCATCTGAGTTAGCAATGCTAAGAGAAGGGAACATAGGTGCAGCCAAGCTTGCCCTTGAGAAGAATGGCTTTGCTCTTCCTCGTTACTCTGATTCTGCCAAGGTTGCGTATGTTCTTCAGGGTATATTAATTATTCTCCTTCTACTTTCGACATGGCTTTTTTTTTTATGCTATTTAATCCATGATGATTGGCTGATTATTTGATGGTAGTAATAATTCTCCTCCTTTCAACATAGGAGTATCATTTTCCTAAAGCTGTTCTTAATTTGATGGAGCTTATAGGATTGGGTTATAGATTCAATTTTTATTTTAAAGAATAAAATGGAAAGAAATATACTGTGCTGCAGATGCTGATCTCAAAATAACATCTGAGGCAGAATTTGCTTAGCTCCTGTAGATGTTTTTATCTTAACTTTTATTCATTTTGCAGGAAATGGAGTGGCTGGGATTGTTCTTCCAGAGAAGGAAGAGAAGGTTGTTGCCCTTAAGAAGGGCGATGCTATTGCCCTTCCTTTTGGGGTTGTTACATGGTGGTATAACAAAGAGGACATTGAACTAGTTGTTCTTTTGTTGGGCGACACCTCTAAAGCCCACAAAACTGGTGAATTTACTGATTTCTTTTTGACTGGCTCCAATGGCATTTTCACTGGATTCTCTACCGAATTCGTGAGCCGAGCATGGGATGTAGATGAGGAGGCTGTGAAGTCCCTTGTTGGGAACCAGACAGCCGAGGGCATTGTCAAGCTTGATGAATCATTTGGGATGCCTGAACCGAAGGAAGAACACCGCGAGGGATTTGTGTACAATTGCGAGGAAGCTCCACTAGATGTTGATATTAAGGATGGTGGAAAGGTGGTTGTTTTGAATACCAAGAACCTTCCTTTGGTTGCTGAGGTTGGGCTCGGTGCTGATCTTGTAATGTTGGATGGAAGTGCGATGTGCTCTCCTGGTTTTTCCTGCGACTCGGCATTACAAGTGACATACATTGTCAGTGGCAGTGGCCGTGTTCAAATTGTCGGTGTTGATGGTCATAGGGTCCTGGAAACTACGGTGAAGGCTGGTCATTTGTTCATTGTTCCAAGGTTCTTTGTCGTTTCAAAGATTTGTGATCCTGATGGGATGTCATGGTTCTCCATCATCACCACTCCCAAGTGAGTTTTGCTTTTATATATTCACACTTCACATATTGCATGTTTCTAGCTTTTTGTAAAGACATTACAACTCCATGCATGATCGCTTGCAGCCCTATATTCACTCACTTGGCTGGAAGGACTTCAGTGTGGAAGGCTTTGTCTCCTCAAGTGCTAGAGGCATCCTTGAAGGTATCTCCTGACGTCGAGCAGCTTTTCCGTTCCAAGAGAGTGAATGAGGAAATTTTCTTCCCACCTCCAAAGTGAGGAATCGTAGCTTCGTTTTCACCCCTACCCAATAAGAATTTACAGGGTTCTCCCCTTCAATATCAGTGGATATAGGCATTTATGCCTGTAGTTTAGATTCTCTCATGGATTGTTATCATTTTATGATATGGGTTTTGCTTTGATTATACTACTTGCAATAGGAGGAGTTAGCTTATCCGGAGAAGTATTTTGACAGTTCTTAATACAATGCCTTTTTATTTTCCATATAAAATTGAACTCCTTCTAAACAACATGAGACATGTCAGTCAAAAATATATCTTCAAGGGAAAAGACTCGCCGCACTCTTGCCTGAAGTTTATAATTGTTATGATTAGGTTAGCTCCTAAACCTACAAAAATCTGAAATCTTATTTTTCTATTGGAGGGACCACTGCAGATAATTAAGTTTTCAACTATTTCCAAATATAGTTGGGAACAAAACAATATCTTGAATAAAATAAACAATAAAATTTTGCATCCACATTCCATCCATTAGAAAAAACAGAGAGAGGTTACTTTGTAGTGCCACATTGTTGAGAGTAGACTTTCACTGGGATGAAATTCCTACGAAATCAATAGGGTAAAAACTGAGAGATTGCTTTCAATGTTGAGATTGCAACATTTGCGTACTGTATTTTCTTCTTTTTTTCTTCTTGTTTTTTTTTTTTTCATCCAAAGTAAACCTTGTTGCGGAAACTTGAGATTATTCGATAGCAAAAACAAGAAAATAACAAGATCTAGAGCTCAAACAAAATTGGTTTCAAGTTTGCTTGCTAAATGCTCTCCATAAACGGCTTTTCCAAACTTCTTAATACCTCCAGTCTTCTCCTTACAAATATCTAAAGGCTCCACTGCAGCATCAAAGTTGGGCTGTTCATGCAACGAAGGCACAGTGTGAGGGTCATTTCCCGGAGCAAGAGAAGACAATGCATAGAAAGGATATGTGGGGCTAACCTCGTAGAAATAAGCTACGCAGACCCGATATTTTGGAGAAGTGTTGATAACTCGGTGCAAAGTGGAATCATACATACCATTAGACCAAATCTGCAGTTTACCAAGGTTCATGATAATAATTGACTAGAAACCAAAGCAAACAAACATTTAGGTCCATTTCTGTCCAAATTTGCATACCTTCAGCATATCTCCAATGTTGCATACAAATGTTCCCGGGATTGGAGGGGCAGATATCCACTCGCCAGACAGGTTTCTCACCTTCACCAACGAATCTAAATTAGGAACTAGAGAACATGATACAGCTGGGATTTAAAACAGCAATATGAACTCAAAGTTTGAGGCTACAAAGGTAGATAGCCAAGATATAATGATGCCTAAAATCCCATACTGATATCAATGCTTCTACTTTTCGCTTAGCTAACAGAAATATTAACTCTTCTTTTTTCTTCTCTTTAATTAGGAAGGTCGTGTGTGCTGCACTCACAACCGAAGCCACATTAAGCACTGTAAAAAGATATAACATGAGTTGGTATAAGCAATTATTAGTTCTACAGTTGTTTTACAGCTAGAAACCATAAGAGATGTTTTCTACAGCCACATTCAATAATCCTACAGCCACAAGGTCAACGTATTTTGATGTGATCATTGGAATGGAACAATAAAAACAAAACAACTGTACAGGAATTGTTTAAATGTCCAAAAAAAAATCGCCACAGAAGCCTTCAACAATCTTCAATTGTACTCATTATATGATAAAAATGGAAAACAGTCTGATCACAGATAAATTTCAGAGCATGTCTAACAGTCTACACTGAAGTCCAAACCATTATTGTCTCTATAAAGAGCATGATAAAACCCTGTTGCAAGTTGTGGACAGAGGGTTGACCAAAAAAGCAGCTTAATAGAGTAACTATATTTCTTATGTTTACAATACTCTTAAAATCTAGAGATTCAGAATTGATTTCTTTTTGTTAACATATAGCAGATCATAGCAACAGTAGCTATCCTTGAAATCAGGACTTTAATTGCATGATGTACCTGAAGTGCGGTGATACCATCATCCTGATTGACCAATGTCACCAAACCTGTCATGCAACAATACACAATGAATTAATCCACAAAATAGATTTACGAGCCAGTAATCAGCTTACGGTTCATAAACTTTACCATAGTCTGTGTGAGCTCCACTGTAATGATTTGCACAGAAGAATCGAGCAGAGGGCAGATGAAAAGAAAAGGAGGACAACATTTGCATTAGACCCAGCAACTTGAAGCAGCAAAAAGCTAAAAAGCCAAAGAGCACCAAGAGTAATAAGATTTCTTACCATCCTATGTCGTTTTCAGGTGCATTTTGGCCATTTGTATTGGAAACAACTGGATAACCAATGACACGCAACACCCAAAATGCATCTCCAGCTCTTTCACCTTCAAATTCATCAGCTGATCCACCCAATGCCAGAGCAATTCCCCGCATAATTTTTCTTGACAAGTCTATCAGTGCACAGAAAAACAGAGTTTCATACTGGACAAAGTGTGATAATAAAGAGAAAGAATCCTTGAAGTGCATGCCTGTGCAAAAGCTGATATATTCCTCCATCAGTACTCTGAAATAAGGTGGATCATGTGGCCTGCAAAAGGGAGTGCAGAAAATGAAAAAAACAAAAGATCAGTGTTGAGAAGCAACCTAACCATCCAATCAACACAAACTCAACAACAGAATCAATGATGAATGCTAAAATAAAGGAATCAGCAATTAAAAGCTATGACACGGTGCACAGAAGAAACTTGAAATAGAAAGCTTATTAACATATAGCCAGTTTCACTTATCCAAAAGCATCAACAATATAAATTCAACAAAGGCAGTCAAGTATTCCTAGACTATGATGTTCAATTAACCAGTCAACCTTAAGTAACATGGTGGAAAGCACTTACTGGGATAAGATCTGAAAATTTTGAAATATAAAGCAAGAAAAATATGATAGGGGAATTTTCCAGGAATCATTGAAAGTTATGCATACCATTGATTAACTCCTTCAATGATCTTGCCAAGCGCTCCATACATCCCTGGTGTTATCTCTCTATAACACTGTCCTCAAGAACCAAAAAGAGCAATAATAATCTTGTGGAAAAAACATAGAAGAGCAAGAACAAAGCTGACATAACCACATACTACGAGAAAGAACATCCAAGTGCATCTCACATGTATGCCAAAGTAACTATCTTCAGAAAACAGACACAAATAAAGTGACTACATCATAGCCGGGTAACTGGAAGAATTTGTTTGAACCAAATTGTAAGCACTTCTTGATAAACATTCTTAAGCTATGTCACTGATTGGTCAATGATGGTTCAGACAGATAAAAAGAATAAATAATTTCAATATGGAATCGCATACAACCTTTGTTCCTTTCTTATATTTATTTACATCTTAAATTTCAAGATAATTTAAGAAGACATTAACACTTAAGGATCACATGCATAGGATGGCACTAGAAAACTAATACATACATCGATGGCTTCATGCATATCAGGAATGCCTTTGGTTATGTTTTCTCCGATCCTCTGATATCCCCTGCATTCAAAATGAGACCACGCAATTTGAATATAGCCTAGAATCCTATACGTAAATCATAATCAGAAAGACATGGCTGGCTATTTCAAGGAGCAAACCTGTATCCAGCAACAGCACTCAACTTGATTTTCAACTTTTCTTCATAGGGAAGATCAAAAAATTTGCGTGTCACATTCTTAACATCTTTAATGAGGGAATCGGGTATACCATGTCCCTTCTAATGAACCACAAGGTAACAGGACAACAAAAAAACCAGAAAATAAGTCCAGAAAATAAACAAAGAACATTTCTTTCTGACTATTTGTAGACAACACATCATCCAGAGTAGGAGAAAGGCGGTGTCTTTTCCAATTTAGCATAGAACCGATTAAGGCAACGCAATTTTTCCCCCCAAAGAATTGCTATCCAGAAAAGCAACATAAAAATGTGTTTGAGGAAGAATTATCCTTCTAAACAGCTGTTGTCACTTTCCCCTCCTAGAAGATGGGAAGAAACGCCATTAAAAAAATATGGATAGAGACCAAATTTGATTTCTAATGGTTCCATCCCATCATTAGTTATAGCAATTCAACCAAACTATAAAACACAAAACAGCCACAGAGAGAGAGGAGAAAAAAACTAGAGTACCACATAGAAGAATCCAGCTTCTCTACAAGCCTGGTCTAATTGTCCAACAACTTCAAGAACATCTGGGTCTTGAACTCTCTTCGGATCATCACACTTTGCCACTAATGGACTAATATCTGCATAACGCAAGAGAAAAGATGACACTCAATCTTAAATTTGACAAGAAGAAGGCTTCGGTTTCAGAAGGATAATTAAAACTAATGACTGAAAGCTTGAATCTTGTCATGTTTAGATAATGAAGAAAACAATTAAAACTATATTTTTGTACGTATGTAAAGTGGGCCTTAATAAAAAGTAGAAAAGATGTGGATTACCTATAATTGGGATTGATTTGAAGTCGGTTGCCATGGACGTGCAGCCTCTCAGTGATCGGTTGATTGAGTCGGAAACGAGCTTGCAAGTTCAAAATTGTTTCTTTCTATCAATTAAGTTACAAAAAAAAAAAAACTAAGAGCTATCGTCAAAACATTATAGCATTAATTTATTGCTGTCGTCAAAACATTATAGCATTAATTTATTGCAACGTGGATAGTAGGCAATCACGTCTTTGCCCTCCAAAACAAAAACCAAATGAACTACCGTAGGGGTGAAAGGGGCTTTTTCTTGAAAACCATTTGTTATTATAAAATTGTGCAAGGTTATAATGGTTCTTTTAATATGTTTACTCCCCCCAGTATAATCAGGTTAGTGAACAACAATTTAGTATTTTAATAAATATAAAATATTATTAAACATTAACACACGCTAGTATGACGACAGTGCATGCACCGCAGTCCGATCACAAAACATCATTTTTTGCAATAGCGTTAGATTTTCCAAGTCATCTCCTCCACAACTGGACGACATGTGTAGCTTGAGGATCTCTAGTTTCGCGCCAGCAGTTTTCTCTTCTGTTTTGTTTGTTTTTCTCTCTGTTTTCTATCTTCCCCTCAATTTTCAAACTCGTCCTCTAAGTTTTTAAATTCATTTTTTAATTTTTTTATAACATTTGGTTCATATTTTTTCATTACTATTTTTTTATTTTGAATGATTAATGAAATTATTATTTTTAAAATTTTATCCCCTTTTAATTTTTTTCAATAGTCATGATTCATATTATTTTAATTACTATTTGTTTATTTAGAATAGTTTTTAAAATTTTTTATTTATTTTCTTCCTCTTTATTTTTATACCAGATTTGATTCCTATTTTTTTATGGGAATATTTTTTAAATTAATTTTTTTATTTTACAACTCAATATTAAATTTATTAGTGATTGAACTTCTTAATTAAATCCGAGTTTGGATTCCACAAGTTACGAATTTAAAAAATTAACTTAGATTCAAAAGATTAGCCTAAGTTTGATTGAGTTTTTTTTAAAAAAAAAACTCATGTTGCATCCTTCAATATTTATTTGAATAGAGATCGAGCTATATTTATTTCAATAGAGATCGAGCTATATTTTTTTTAGATGCTTTCTATTGAATTTTTCACTAATTTTGAGAATGATCCACGTTATATCGGCTTTTTTAATTAACCTTTTCAAATGAATTTTGTTATTAAATTAGATTAAATGAATTGATTAAATATAAATAAGAGAGATTAACCCGAGTTTGCTTGATTATCTTTTTTTTAACTCATGTTTTCTCGGTTTCATCCATTAACATTTATTTAGTGGGAGATTAGTTTTTTTAAAGATAAATCTTGTTTTTTAATTAGATTTGATTAATTAATTAAATACAAAGATGGCGGGTTAGCTTGGTTTTTTATCTTTTTTTTTTAGTTTATATTTTTTATTTTATCCATCAATATTTATTCAAATAGAAACTGGGCTTTGTTTTTTTTATTTTTTATAGAATATTTTACTAATTTTGAGAATGACTCAAGTTATCTCAAGTCTTTTTATTTTTTAAAAAATAAAAATTATTTTTTAATTAGATTAAATATAAACATAAAAAGCTCACTTCATAGTAATATCTTTTCTTTGCTTTTTAGGTGGTTGCTTTGATATCATGCATGATCTTTTTTAATATAATCATAAAGCCTTTTGTGGTGTTATTATAACAATCATGGTGTGAACTTTTTGGTGGTGGGTGGTGTCCATGAAAAACACAACATTTATTTTTCAATGGATTTTTGTTTCATCTTCTTCTTCTAACTATGATATTGACTTCTTCTTTTTTTTGTTAATTATTGCCTTTTTTTCTTTTATTTATTATCAATGTCTTTTTTTTATTATATTATTAAATTAACCTAGATTATTGAACCTTATCAAGTTAATAACCTAGGCCTAAGATCTTTCTTGCTTCTTTAAAAATATTACATAGCCTAAGCATTGTTTTTCTATGTTACCAAAAAAAATAACCCGACTTGCAACATAGCACAACTATTTATCTAGTTACTATTATATACTATTAAATTAAAATTAAAAAAATTGAGATGCATGGTTAATTAATTATATTCCTAGATAAATATTATTATTCACTACAATAGTATAATTACCATTTTATTTTTTCAATAAAAAAATTAATAAATTTGTTATTGGGGTAAAATGGTCTTTTCATTAAGGTTCATTAGTCATTATAAAATTGATTAGTGATAATTCAATTTTTTTACCTTTTAAATGCATAATATAATAACTATATTACCCTAAAAAACAAAAATAAAAGGCTGAACAAGGTAATTCAGTCTTTTTCTATTTTAAAAGCAAAAATAAAATACTATGTTACCCTTAATTCAGTCTTTTCTTTTTTCTTTTTCTTTTTCAAATCAAATTTTTTATAATAAATAAGTTGACAAATGGTGATTTGGTCTTTTGATTGATATGAATATTATTTTTAAAAAACATTGTTGGCGACACACACACTAGTGAGTGGGTGACATCCATGCCCTTCAAGCAATACGTACAATGATATCTCACAATCAAACATCACCTTCCAAGATGACATTGGAAGTACATCACCTTCCGAGGTGACATTGGAAGTGTCTAGTCATGTTCTTTATATTGGTGTAGTGCATGTACACAGCGGCACGGTAGTTGGATTTCGGTAGACTTTTTTCTTCTCCTTTTTCTTTTTCTCTCATCTCCTTGCTAAAATATAAAGGTGTCATTGAATTTATTTATTTTTATTTTGGCTCTCATTTTTTTATTACTATTTATTTTTTTATTATTGATTTTCTCATTTAATTTTGTCACCATTATTTATTTCATTTATTTTCTATATCAATTTTGATCATCATTCTTTTTATTGTTGTTTTTTTTATTCTTTTCCGATTGAATTTTATTTCATCCCTCAATATTTGATTTAAAATTATTTTTATATTAACTTTAGTCCTCATTCTTTTAGTCATTACTTTTTTTTGAATAATTTTTATAGCATTTTTTTTTTACAATTTCATCCCCTAACATGTTGATGATTTAGGGTTTTCTTTCTACAAGGTTAGTTTCAAGCTTATGACTAGGATTATAGGTTTCGAAGATTAACACATGTTAACTTTGATTTTTTATTATTTTTTTAATTGAGTTTTTTAATTTTTAATTTTTAATATTTGATTTATTAGAAATTAGTCTGTGTGTTTTTTCTTTAATTTCTTTTATACAAGATTATATTAGTTTTGTGCCCATGATTACAAGGTTAGCAAGTTAACACGCGATGACTCTTAGTTTTGTGCCCATTATTGCAAGGTTAGCAAGTTAACACGCGATGACTTGGATATTTTTTCGTTGTTTTTTTAGTCATTTGTTTTTTTTTTTCCTTTTAGTCATGGTTTTATTTAGTGTGCTTTTGACAGATCGTAGCCTTGGCATATGCCCTTAGATGAGCTCGAGTCGAGTTTTTTTTACCTTTTTTATGTTATTAATTTTTTTTATCAATTTATTTATTATCATTCTTTTTACCTTTTTTATGTTGTTAATTTTTTTTAATTTATTTATTATCATTGTAGCTTTTTATTTATATTAATTAAATTTTCTTATTAAACACAATTAAGTCAATGACCCGAGTCTGAGATTTCATGGTTTTTTAGGAATTTTAGCATGGCTTTAATGTCCTTTTTATATATTAGAATAAATTTAGACTGGTCAAATAGTGGAATGTGATGTGTCATTTCACAACCAAACATTTCCTTCTACGGTGACATTGGAAACGTCATAATATTGTCTTCCCAGTGGTTAGATGCATATACATAATGAAGCAAAAATTAGATTTTTGTGGACTTTTTTGTTCTCCTTCCTCTTTTCTTTTTCTTCTTGTTACCAAAATATAAAAGTGTCCTTTGATTTTTTATATAAAATTTGATCCTTATTCTTTTATTTGTTTTTTTTTATCATTTTTCCTTCAATTTTTTCCCTCATCATTTGTATCATTTAATTTCTAAATCAAATTAGGTCATTATTCTTTTCAATGTTGTTTTTTT